GGAAAGAAGGGGGGGCCTCTGGACCGAAATTTGAATGGCATCGCATTGAGTATGAAGGCTACACTCCCAGATCAATCTGCAGCCCCTGTGTGATCACTTACTGCAAATTCAGCTGTAATATGGGGCTGTGGATCAAATTGAGGCAAAGCTGAATTGGAGTAACTTGGCTTGGCAGTGTAGTCACAGCCTGAGAGAGCACTTCTTTTTTTTTTGCTCTAAGAACTGCTGGGGGCCACACAGAATGAACAAAAATGTGAGAAATGAAACCAGACATGGATTGAAGTCCACCTCCTGTTTTGAAAAATTGGTATTCTTGAGGTGTTAAATGGTGCAAAGTGCTCTGTGCTTATTAAAAGTCAAGTTGCCAATCTTGAATCCTTCCAGGATTGGCAAATCATCCTTTTCTGCCTGAAAAGGAAGAAAGTTGGGCTGTCAGCCACCAAATCAGCATTGAGGGCTGACCCTTACCCACTTTTACCCTACAGTCAAAGAAAAATGTGTTTTTGTTCTTAACATTCGCAGATTGCCCTGCAAAGCAATGGATCACTCTGTCTTTGCACCTCTTAGTTATTCATAAAGCAGGAAAAGCAATGGAGTTCTGCTCCTTTTCCTTCACAGAGGCCTTCACACAGAGATGGAAGACACCAGTGGCACACATTGTTCTGTCTTCTCAGACTGGGCAAAGGCATAAATAACTGGCTTATACTTTGGAAATTAGACCAACAGTGCCTTGCAATACTTAAACAAATGCAAGCCCGCTGAGCCCTTTAGGACCAGCAGTACTGTTTGCCATGACAACAGTGGTACTGTTAGTGTATGACTCTGGGATAGATGCCTGGGGGCCCACTCAGCAGAATGAGTGGGACAGACTCCTCAAAACACAGTGAAGGCATATGCATTGTCATCTAAACAGCACAACCTGGTTAAGGCCATACTGTAGGTCCAAAATATAAAATTACCTAAATGTGCCCTGTGTTGGATGCCCAGGGCAGAGACCTAATTGGATACACAGAAAGGAAATACAGATGCAAATGAAATATGCATATGCCTTCTAGTCCTGGTTAAGCAACACAAGAAATAGTTATAAGTATGTGAGTGTATTATAACAAGCATGAGCAAACATTCTTTTGCCATCTCCTTTTTAATTCCTGGCTGTTAGAGGTAGAAGTGGTGGTGACAGAACATCAGGTAGCAGGAAGATGATCCTTATCATGGGCACACTTTTTGTGACATTCAAGATGAAAGGTCATCCTTGTTTGGAGAGATGATTTTTCTTCTTCTTTGAGGGAGGGACAACGTCACAACATACTGAGGGAGGTCCCACGGCAATGAATGAGGCTTCCTTCCATGCAGGATCAGTGCTCTTATGTGTATTCTTCACTAAAGCCTATGCCACATTTAGTTAGAGTAAGCACCACTGGGCACAGTTAGTTATGGTGTTGGTCTAATAATGCAGAGATATAGCATGCAATAACTCAGGAATGGGGAACCTCAGGATGTAGGGCTAGATCTGGTCCGCTAGAGTTCTCCAATTGGCCACGCTCCTTTGTAAAGTAATTTTGGGGCTTGGTGTCCAGGCTGTTGCAGCTGGAGAGAGGGAAACCCGGCAGGCCTTTTTCCAATTTCAGCCCCAACCCCAAGGCATCTTTGGCAATGCTGCCGTTACCCTCTCAATAGCAAATGGGCAAGTTAGTCTGGTAATGTGGGCCAAGAATTGTGAGGCATCTGGAATTGATTTAAGCCAAATATAGCTCTGCAGAACTGAGTCCTTCGTGTCACAAGTGGACGGTTTCTGATACATTAGCTTTATTATAAATAAAACGTTAGCTTTATTATAAATAAAACAAGTGAAAAACATTGTCAAAGGAGCAAAGCAGCAAAGTTACCCAGACTACTTTCACCATCTCTTATGCAAGGCATAAACTAGTGACAGAGAAAGCTAAAGAGTGCAGTTATTTTAATCTATCTAAGTTTCCCTAACCGCCTCAGTTGGGTTGCTCACTCAGGATGTTAAATATCCTTTCCTGATAATCCATTCCCCCAATCTCCTGGAAGGCAGAAGACCCTTTGCTTGGCTCCCCAAGTCCTACTTAAGCCCCAGTGCCATTTGTGTATTCCAGATCAAAAGCCTTTTGATCTGGACACTTAGTTAATCTATCTCTAAGGTAGAGGTGAGCTGTTTCCTGTGTATATTTGCACATAAAGACACCAGACCAGCTTGCGGATTGCTTTCCATGAGTTCCTGCACCAAATGCGATTTCTAACAAGTCCCTGGTGAAGCTTGAACATGCTTGAAGAGGCTTGAAATGTGGGTGTGGTCATTTGCCAGAAAACCTTTCCTGAAATGTGTGACTTCCATAGCATATAATTTATTATATCTCTACCATCCTGACCTTGAGGTCCCCCCCCCCATATCTTTACACCCATTCTCTATGGGTCCCTCTCAGCTCTTTTACAGCCCCCTCTCTTCAAACTGAAAAGCTGATCTGCCTCTATTCCTAAATTTAGGTTGTGGGCAGCGAGAGCTTTCAGCTAAAATATGTTGGTATGTTATTTTATCCCGCAAATGCACTAAGATGGAGGGAAAGATCAGGATAAACATTCACAGGCCTGGACCTTAGATAATTCAATGCATCAAAAGTCCTTCTGCTATGAAATTATGTAGAAAGTCTCCTGAGATGGAAAACTCTTTTAATCATTGAAATGGCTTGAGATTTCTTCTGCATACATGCAGTGTTATTCCAAGAATTGGGGAGGTGCTCACAGAAGTAAGTGTCATCAAGCCCAATAGGGCAGTCACTTGCGGTTATGTGTTGTTACCTTAGGTCATGTGGTGCCAGAGAAAGGGCACCTGAAGAAGACAGTCACAATTGTGTTGGGATAACGCTAAAACACAGGTAGCAAATAATCCAGACACTGGGCTGGGCTGGGATGAGATGAACAGACAGCTCCTCAAGTGTATTCTTCTGCCCTCCCATTTTCCTAGAATTTTTAGACAGCACCTCCTTCTGTTTCTGAGATGACTTCCTGTTTCCTCTTCCATTCCAGCAGCTTTGCCTGACAGTGCAGGAGACTCACAAGCAGGGGAGCTACTCAAGCTCTAGAAAGGGCTTTTCTCACCAAGTGTAGCTGTTTTGTTTTCCTTCTTGTACAGTGGGGTCTTGACTTGAGAACTTAATCCGTATTGGAAGGCGGTTCTCAAGTCAAAAAGTCTGTAAGTCAAGCCGTCTGTAAGTCAAGGGTCCACTGTACTAGCCATACTCCCCCTCTTCTTTGAACTAATACTTATCGCAAGAGAAATGATTCTCCTCAGAGGTCACAAGCTCTGTATCAGCCTCGTGTACTCTGCAAGCTTAAGTAGTAAATAATGCTAACATGCCCAAGAGAATCTTCTGCAGCATCAGGGCACACTATGGATTTGTGCAGGAAACTGGGTGCATTGGCTGCTGCAGAATGGGAACCCAAACAAGAACCCTTTTCTTTTATAATTGCTCTGCCCTGAGCTGCTGCCTGGACAGAATGAATAGCCAGGTCAGCCATGCGCCCCAGTAAAATTGCAGAGGTTTTGAACCTTATTGGCTAGCCCTCCTCTGGATGAAGTTACATACAACCCCACTTCACCCCCCCTCTTATGATTCCCTTTTTTTCTCCAAGGCTGCTTTTATGATTAAAAACAGCAAACTCAGAAAAGGAAAGGGGGAGCTTATTTACAAGCCTAACAAAATTGTGGGCTAAATATTTACAGGGGGAAAGAGTTTAAAAGGAGCCAGGCTTTCAAAAGCAATTATGATAATGTCTGAAAGAAACAACCCATTCACACCAAGTGGGTGCCAGATCCACAGCTGATGTAAGTCTTGAAGATCTTAGCTGGGGACTGGCCCAAGATGTATTTTTTATATATATTTTATATATACAGTATTTATATATAGGCCAGCTACATTTTGTGCCAAGAGACACTCTCTTTCTAGCCGCCGCCCCCCCAATATAGTGGATTAGAGGAGGGGTATCCCTGAACTCTCAGAACAGATGCATTCAGCTTCAGAATTCAAAATTATGGCATTTAAAAAACCAAGAAAATAATATTTTTTTCCTTTTTGAGCACTTTGTGCAACTGACTCCTGGAATTAATTGATTTGTTTGTTGATGAAAAAGAGTACCTACTTTATGGTGTTCAAGAAGAGTAATAGTGTTGGATATCAAAATCATAAAGATAAGGCAAGATGACATATATCAATAGACGCAATAAAACCGATAGAAACAGCTAGTTGAACAAATTGCAACATATTTTCAGAAACCATAACAAATATGTTTATCAGACCAAAACCTTATTTGAATCACAATTACTTTGACTGACAGCAGAAGCCTCATATTACCTTATTCTTTTTTTCCCATGTGATGAAGTTTCTCTTTTCAACTTCTATAGTTGCCTGGGTCCTGGTTCATTTAATCCTTCGTAAACAGTCTGAATCTTCCTGCCCTCCTTCATCTCCATCCAGCATGAGGACAGTTAGGAAATCAAAGTAAACCCCTTGTAGTGGTGATGACAGTAACATTGCGCAGCCAAAGGGTCATTTTGTGACAATTGCAAGTAAGTAGTTAGAACTGACAGCCTGTGTGGTTTAGTGCATATACAGTAGTGTTATCCTGGGACTCACATACCTTAGAAACCCTACTACGATTGCCATACGTTAGAATCAACGTGGTGGCAAAATAACACATACAGTTAGAACTGACTTGAAAGTGGTTCTCTAACTTGTTATGTACCTTTTAACATATGGTGTTCCAAAAAGTCTTGTCATTAACAGCCCTGTTTATATCTTGCAAATTAAAGGCTGTGGTTTCCTTTATTGAGTCAGTCCATCACACGTTGGTCTTTTTTTTCCCTACTGCCTTCAGCTTTTCCTAGTATTATTGTCTTTTCTAGCGAGCCTTGTCTTCTTATAATATTCAGTTCTACAAACAAACAAACACACACACACTAACTAATTAACTAACTAACTAACTAACTAAGTAAGTAACTAACTAACTACCCTTCAGTTGATGAATATGGGATATTGTACAGTACTTCTGAATCCATTATTCAAAGCACTAGGAAATGGTCCAATATTGCTGTGTAATATGTGACTGTGATGCCAGCAGGAAAAAGGATACCAAGCTTTACATAGTAAAGAACAGCCTGACTTGTGACAACACCAATGGCAGCAGTCAAGATAGTATACAGTACCCTCTTGCTTTTACCACCATTTACAGAAAGATAACAAGCAAGAGAAAAACCCAAAAGCTGACTCCTTTTTTTCATCAATTAGCTACTGTCCACTCACACAAAGCAACATACAGGGTTGTTTTTCCAACAACCGTGAATGGTATTGTCAACAAGAGTGAAGGGTTTTAGCCAAAAAACAAGCCTTTGAATATGCTGCTATGCTACACAGGCACAAAATGTGATAACAGGCAACAATTCTTCTGTCAGTAAGTTTCTAGTCCATAGGCTTGTAGTTACATGAGCAAAGCCTGATGATATCTCAAAAGACAGACAGAATGAAGAATTTCTAGCCTAAGTCAGGGTTTTCAGCAATGTTTCTTTGCTTTGGTGGCAAAGTATAACTCCTTATACCTGTGGTTCTCATGTCAGAAGAGCAATAAAGCCTGAAAAACAAAAGCAATCATATGAAAATTGGCAGATGAATTATTCAGGTCACAGATTTAGCTTTCTTTGATTTGATAAGATATATGTGTACAGTATATGCATAGAACACACAATTCTGAGCACAGGTTACAAGGAAATAAACATTAGCAAACTACATCTAATACAAACATCTGTCCCTGAGATTAACATGATTAACAATATTCTGGGAGGAAACTTGGGACCCAACACCCAGCAGCACAAACTTTCACAGTGATGATTCTCACTGTTTCCCAATCTTACTCCATCCCAATGTGATGGATTCTTCAGTCAAGCTTTCCCTTCTGAGTGCATTTCTTAAAAATGGATTATTGTACCTTAACTGCGTTGAATGTATTTTTGGTCCTGCTTCTGTTTATCATTTTTAGTGTGGTCTTTGTTTGATCCCTTTTAGTATTTATATAGTTTTCAGGTTTTAGCTTTAAATATGGTATTTTAATGATATAAGCTGTCTTGGCTCCTTTTTAAGGAGAAAAGTGGGGCAAAAATATTTGATAGACAGACAGACAGACAGACAGACACACACACACACACACACACACCTCCCCCACCATCTCCAACCAGCATACCCATTATGGCTAGGGACACTGGGAGATAAGCTACAGTATTTTGTTCCTGAATTCTGCTACCCTTCTTCTTTTACATGGAATGATTCCTAGGGGGTGTGCATCCACATGTCTTTGTGGGCAATCACATTTATTGCAGAGTCCCTGATATTGTCTTTAATTTGTAATCCTTGCATGTTTTCCAACAACAACATATTTGTCGTCCCGTCCCCCCTTTACTGTGTGGAAACTACTAGGGAGGGCAAAATGGAACAGTTGCACGGCATCTCTCAACATTTTCTGGCAATACCAGACACTGTTTGTCTGAAAGCACCCTTATTATCTGTCCCTATCTCTTGTATCCATTTGACAGCTGCCAAGTTTTTGGTGATCATGGTCATGGCCAGCTCTCCCATCCAGATGATTGGACACATGCCTCTCTTCTTCTCCCAGCTGGCACCTTTCCTCAGGCAGTTGGGGAGGGGTGTTACTGGGAGGCACCCAAACAGCAAAATTAGATCTTAGTCTCTGGGGCCAATTCTTAGCTTGTCCTCTCCTCCCTCTGTGATTTACTGGGCAATCCTAACTCCAAAATGGTTTAGGCAAAATGGAGTTGGGGAGGGACAAGACAGACCAATCTTTGATGCCTTAAACAGGAGACTGGCCAGGCCTGATGGGAATTGGAGTTTAGCAACATTTGGAGGGCCAGAGGTTCTTTAGGCTTGGCCCAGTTTATATACTCAGGTAAGCTAGCAAAGTAGCTGAACCTATACAAGGATCCCTGCAGCCCTCAGCAAAGGTATGTGAAATAGGACAACTCAAAAGGAATATAGTGCTATGTTTTCTGTCAGGCCTGTCTTTCACTGCCTCCCACATTCTTGTAAAAGTTATCCCTGTTGTAATGCAAAGTATCTGAGGGCACTTTGCTCTTGAATGGGCAATTAAATGCTATTAACTTTACAAAAGACCTATTTTTTTGTGGGATGCACCAATTCAGGCCCATGCTTGTTTTAACCCTCTATGGAGGGAATTGTGATGGGGACTCTCATGATGAATATCTTTAGTTTCAAGTTTACCACTACTGTACTGTGAGGAGAACCTTGATTGATAGCAGTCACTCACTCAGCTAATGGGCAGATCTGTAGGTACGCATGCAGCAAAGTTCTGGGTAGAGTAATACCTTTATTGGGTCACTGGAAAGTTAGGAATAAGAGAAACTTTCAAGTTCTTTGGAGCTCTTTGGGGGAAAATGGCTCAAAATTTGGATTTAAGACTAGCAGTCCAAAAATTGGGCCAGATGTAATGTAATGCCCTTGGCTCTTGAAACCACATTGCTAGCAAGGTCAGAGGGAGTTTTACAGATTCCACATCAAACAGAGACATCAAACATATCAAGTTACAGTCTGTCTTCTCTCTGTAGACTTAGCCAGGAGTTATCCAGAAAAAAAGCAATCAGAGCTTACATCAGGAAGGTGAGAACTGCATGAGGAAGAGGCTTAAACCTTTCCTGCCAGGGTGCTTTGAGCATCTGAAGAGTGGCAGGATGGGGTAACTAAAATGGCCCTTAATAGAGCCTGCTATTCCAGCTGCTACCTGGAAATCTAAAAATATCAGCCTTGACTGATTTTAGAAGATTATGATAATCCACTCCACTTTTCTCTTTATTTTAATACAAGGTCTGCTGCAGAAGCCTCCTCCATGACTGTTATACAGCTATATGATTTTACTTTTTGTCCCAAAGGATATCAGAGAAGGGGTACTTAATGTGTCAGGGAAAATCTATAGCCTTCCATGGTCAAAACCATAAACAAAATACATTTCAGGAAGAAATTGGTTAGACATGGGCCTTGCATGTTTTGACCTTAAATGTCAGTGAAGGTTCCTTTTCCGGCTGAACGATGGAAATGGCTGGATTTCTTTCTTTTTTCCAGTGTGCTCTCTCTCAGCACAGCCAGGATCTATTCCAAATGGAATATCACTCCCACCCCCCACCCCCAAATTTCCTGCCACTTACATCAATTTTAAAAGCTGGTCAGTGTTGCCATGCTGACTGTGGATGATATGTTGTAGTCAACCATATGGCGAGTGCTGGGTTGGAAGAGATTTCAAGCTCCCTGTTTTTCTCCCTTCTCTAATAAATGCCTCTGTTGGGCAATACTTTCCCTCCGACAAAGGACAGAGCATTTAGGAGAGCTGGGAACTTATAGTAGGTAAGCCAAGAAAGCTTTTACTGCTACTATAACTGATTTGCTGATTATTATTACTATGACTGATTGTCACCCACTGACAGAATTATAGTAGTAAATTTCACTGTGAAAATGTCACACCGTGAAAATGTCCATATATATGTTATACTGGGTGCAGGTCTTCTGTGAAGCTAATAAATCTTAGCTGCCCATTCAAGACCAAGCATTTACTGTATGTGGTTTAACTGTGGAGATTACAACTAAGCTTGGAGAGAAAAGCAAAGCCTGAAGCACATGGCATAGAAGAATCCCAGTATTTGGTCCTCATGGGCCCTGGTTCTAAAACGCCACTATCCATTGATCCTTTTGATCTTGCCATGCTTCAGCAATATTGAGATATATAGAAAACACACGGTGAGTAGATGGTGTCAGTAAACTGATGTATCTTTTCTGTACTGTGTTTATTCCCTTGCAGAGGTTGGGAAAGCATTTTCCCCCCTAAGCTTTGCTGTCTGATGTCGAAGTCATGAGCTGTTTTCAGTCATGCTGTTCTCTACTCTGTGGCAAAATGAGCATGGCTTGCATTAGAGAAAGCAGCATCAAACCTTTGCCAGGAAGGCTTGTTGGCATAAAGGGCTGCTCTCATTCCAATGGGGCCTTGGGAACCAGGTTCCGGGCAGAGGTTTTTCCTCCAGTATATACTGCTGCAGTTAATTTAGGCTTCCTTCACTGAAGAGGCCAATGTAAGGCTAGACTGTGAGATGCTGTGTGATCTGACGCCACCTCCCACCCTGGCCTTGCCCTCCTCCCTCTTCACCCGGCCTGGCTTTCATAGAACAGAGAAAAGAAATGGGGGAAGACACTTCCCCCCCTCCCCAGCATTCTCTATTTATCTTAAATGAGGCAAAAAGGACTTCATCAGCCTGTTTGAAACTGTATCTGAAGCAGAGCTCGGCTACAAGCACCATTTCATCAAAGGCTAAGCTGGAGACTCCACTGGGGCAGAAGCCCATGGGCCTGAGGGTTCCTTTATAATGTGCAGGATTCTCTTACATCATCTGCTTTCTGTAAATCTTCTCCCCCTCCCCTCACCAAGCAGCATTTTGCTCTTCAATCCTGGCTGAACATCCAACTCTATAGTCTCTTAATTAACCTATACCTCCCAGTATGACTAGCCTGGGGGGGCAGGAATCCATGGGACAAATTTTAATTATCAGAAGCAACAGACATTCCCATGCCACTTTAAAGACAAATTTATTATATTATTAGTCTCTGTAGTCTGTAGCCCCGTTTCACGGATTGTATGAAGTGGGCTGTAAGCTCTTATTATAATGACTTTGCTAGTCCTTAAGGTGTTGCAGAACTCTATGGCTCCCCACCCCCAATAAGCTAATCAGGCTATCCTTTTGGAAATGTCTATAATTATTGTTATCCAAGTTGTCATTTGCAAAGCAAAAAAAAACCCTCATTGAGTTGAGTGGGGAAGATCTAACTATAAGCTTACCGCTGTGATCCTATGCCACATGTAGAAACATGTGTCAGCGAACTCAATGGCACTAATTTCTGAGCAAGCATTATGGGATTGCATTGCATCCCTCTTAAAAGTGCCTACTTTTGCCTTGGCACAGTCCATTCTTTTATATCTTAGATTAGATAGAAGGTGGGTTTCTTGTGACCAAATCATTTCTTAACATGGTGATTTACAATACTGTATGAAAAGTAGAAGACAGACAATTATGATGATATGGGGAGTAACTCTACTTATCTGCAATAGTTTATGTATATGTTCCCTCTCAGTGAGCAAACACTAAAAAGTAGGAAAGGGCACCCAGTGGGACATTTCACAAATTATGAACTGAATCACTCTCCTTTGGACTACTTTATATAAGGTCCAGATTAAAGCAGAATGTCCAGACTTGGTTCCTAAGTGAAATCAAGAGAATTTACATATTAATTTACATCTGGAACACAAATCAAATCATGTGTGGCACAAATTGCATCACCCTTTTATTTGAACAAAAAGATGAAAGGTGCATAGTATACAAGCCCCTAAAACTACTTTCCAAAGTTTGACAGGTTTATACCCCTCTTTAGGGTCTACCATTTCTTCAGATTCCATGTACATCAGTGCAAGCAACAACAACAAAAAAAGAGCTGTATCTCTTTTGGTGTTTCAATACAACTCAGTTAGACGCCAACAAGTGGACTCAGATTCAAGGCACATATGGAATC